GGGTGGTCCATTGGGGGTCCCAGGTGTGCCATGAGGGGTCCCAGGTGGGCCCAGGGTCGTCCCTCAAGGGTTCCAGGTGTGCTGTGGGCTGTCCCTCCAGAGCCCCAGGTGTGACACTGGCTGTCCCTTGAGAGGCCCAGGTGTGTCCTGGGTGCCTCAGGTGTGACATTGGCTGTCCTTTGGGGGCCCCAGGTGTGTCCTGGGGGTCTCAGGTGTGACACTGGCTGTCCTTTGGGGGCCCCAGGCGTACCCAGGGTTGTCCCTCAGGGGTCTCCAGGTGTGCTGTGGGCTGTCCCTCCAGAGCCCCAGGTGTGCCAGGGGTGTTCCTTCAAGGGTCCCAACTGTGCCATGGGGTGCCCCAGGTGTGCCAGGCGGTGTCTCAGCTGTGCAGGGTGGTGGCCCAGGTGTGCCATGGTGTGGCCCAGGTGTGCCAGGGGGTGCCCCAGGTGTGCTAGGGGGTGCTCCAGCTGTGCCAGGGGGTGTCCCAGGTGTGCCATGGTGTGGCTTAGGTGTGCCAGGAGGTGGCCCAGGTGTGGAGGAGGTGGCCCAGCTGTGCCAGGGGACGCCCCAGCTGTGCCAGGGGATGCCCCAGCTGTGCCAGGGGATGCCCCAGGTGTGCAGGGGGTGCCCCAGGTGTGCCATGGTGTGGCCCAGGTATGCCATGGTGTGTCCTAGGTGTGCCAGGAGGTGGCTCAGGTGTGCCATGGTGTGGCCTAGCTGTGCCAGGGGACGCCCCAGGTGTGCCAGGGGATGCCCCAGGTGTGCAGGGGATGCCCCAGCCGTGCCAGGGGGTGGCCTAGGTATGCCATGAGGTGGCCCAGCCGTGCCAGGGTATGTCCCAGCTGTGCCATGGTGTGGCCCAGCCGTGCCAGGGATGCCCCGGCCGTGCCAGCCTCACCTGGTACTGTGTCTTGTCGATGCCCACGAGGAAGAGCAGCTCGGCCAGGAAGAGGCTGATGCACAGGTTCTTGTGGATGGTGGTGCGCTCCGAGGGCAGCCCCCGCAGGCAGCAGAAGGCCGAGATGGAGAGGCCCAGGCACAGCAGGGCCACCAGGATCCCCGCCCACGTGATCACCGACAGCAGCACCTCGTTCAACCGGCCCGGGAACTGTGAACGGTGACAACGGCCATGGGGACACGGGACACTGACACGGGACACGGGACACTGAGACAGGGGACACTGACAGGGGACAGGGGACACTGACACGGGACACGGGACACTGAGACAGGGGACACTGACAGGGGACAGGGGACACTGACAGGGGACACGGGACACTGAGAGGGGACAGGGGACACTGACAGGGGACACTGAGAGGGAACACTGAGAGGGGACAGGGGCTACCAGGAGGAGAAATGGGCCACTAATAGGGAACAGGGACCACTGAGAGGGGACAGGGGACACTGGGAGGGGACAGGGCCAGCAGGAGGGGACAGGGGCCACTAAGAGGGGAGAGGGGCCAGCAGCAGGGGACAGGGGCCATCTGGATCCCTGCCCAGGTGTGCCCAGGTGTGTGCCAGGTATCTCAGGTGTGCCCAGGTGTGTCATTCACGCTCTGTGTCTGGGCCAGCAGCAAGGTGATGTTGGTCAGGTGTCACCAGGTGTGTGGGTGTGTGCCCAGGTGTACCCAGGTGTGTCCTGGTGTACCCAGGTGTGTATCCCATGTACCCGGGTGTGTATGCCATGTACCCAGGTGTATCCCAGGTGTATCCCAGGTGTATCCCAGGTGTGCCCAGGTGTGACTCACGCTCTGGGTGCGGGCCATGAGCAGAGCGAAGTTGGTCAGGTGGCTGCAGGCACACGAGCTGTGGGTGCCATTGGAGCGCAGCAGGCGACAGCCCTGGCTGGACCAGTGCCCGGCCA